CATCGAGTGTTTTACACTCGGAATTTGTACTTCGCCCGATTATATTGGTACGGCGGTATATGCGAAACATTAATCTTTTAAAATAAATCCTGAGACTATACATGATGTAAATTCAAAATAATGTGATAATATTTTACATTATGTGGGGTCTACATTATTCTGGGTTGCTTTGCGATGTTATACCAAGACTCATGAAAATAAAATAGTGTTCTTCTGCGAACTAATATAGACGATTTTTCCAATTTTCTGGTACCACTCGATTTTATTATTTGAACTTGGCGGCAAGTAACCTTTAGTTTCCCAGTCTATTGTGTCCATTCATAGTCTTAACAATAGGGTGTAAATTGCCATGCGAGCCTACCGCACATGACCGCGGTAAACCGGGGTCATGGAATCTATGCATAAATTTGCATAAAATGCGGTCGACCGGCGAGCACCCACCACCACCGCGGTAAACCGCGAGTTTGATTTCCTACTCTTCCCTAAGCCGCATTCTAATGTATGCTATTAGAGCAAACATTTTTATCTTTCTTAGCATATATGCGAATTGTGCTATAAGATAGAGAAGTTCCACAATGAAGATAGGACTTCAAATCTACCCATTTCCTTTGATGATATATTACGAGTGAAATCCAAACTGAAATGCACAACATAGATTTCTCAATGGAACCTCGACTGTCGTAAAAGTCTAACAGAATTATTATGTTTCTCTGTCTTTACATAAAATAATTCCCTCCACATTGAGTGAGATGGATATGTCAGAGTGTGGTACGTGAAAATAGTTGAGAGAGTGCATACACTACCGTCCTTCAGAGAATGCACACTTTCTAAACCAATTAATTTGTCATTTGTATCTATAGCCAAGCATTTTTTCAGCTAATTCTCCCAAACTGTGCATGCAAGTATCTATAAAGGCACTATAGGATCAGCACAAGTAGTATGACACATAAATAGACCAGTTTTGAGTCTCTGGCTGCTATATGAGTGGGCACTAATATAAATTCTCGATGGAAAGGAAAGACAACTCAACTCGTCTTAGTTTATTACATACTTCTTCCCTGGAACTACATGAACGCCAAGATAGCACATAACTCATTATATTTTTCATATTTCACTCTTGGGGGTTTAAGATTTAAAAAATAAAACTAGTACAATAACAATCCTACACCTTGCCTTACAACCCGAGAACATGAAATACCATCTAATAGCTATAGTTACATTTACAAGTTATTCAGTGTCTAACCACTAATGACTCAAGTCATTCTAACCTCAATAGGGCACAATAGACCATTTTCCGTTCACTGTGAGAATCACGCGTTATGCGTGAAATCGAACGTAAAAACAGGACAAACAAAGGTCACAGCGTCGTAGTCGCGTCAAACATCGCGTGGGATTTGACAAACGCGAAAGTATTTCGGGGACATTTCCATGCTTAATAATGTGCTGTTCACATTTGATGATAGGCAATTTCGATTAGTAAGGGTATTTGGAAGCAATATTCCTCTGTCGAAGATCGGCCGGTCAATGTGAGCTACGAAATAAAGAAATTCGAGTTCAAAATCAAATCGTTCGATTTTTGCGGCAGACGTTCGACGCGCATCTTTCATGCATCTCGCGAGATCTCGCGATTGTACGGAAAATCAACTATTGCAAATGACACGCGTCTTTTGTAGTAAAAACTATTTATTCTTGACTGGAGCATCACTCTAAGTATGAGCTTCAGTGAAAGCTCCCCCGGAGGCATGGCAGAGCATAACCGTACTTATTTATTAAAAGTCTGTGTGAAATAGTTGAAAAGAGTAAATTTACATCATTCTTATGACACTGACAGATGAGGTATTTTGAAATATGTATGGTACAGTGTTATGCTACATCTAACACATAGCAGCCCTCAAAGTTAAATTTCTTTTGTAGTGGCCATTTGGAAACTAAATTCATTGTTGGTGGCCAATTGCAAAATTTGCAGCTCTTGTTGTACATTGTATTGTTGTTGGTTGTGATGGCGGTAGAGAATGGTCTATGGACTATTTGGAATTAAAAGTTACGTGGCTGTCTCGTTCTCAACAAGATCTCAACAACATGTTCTCGAAATTGTAATTCCACTATAGATACCATTTATAGACTATCCAAAGTTTTGAAAGAAGGAATTAGAAAAGCAAAGCAGCATTTTCTTTTGGATCTACCATTTTTAAATACTATTGGAGAGTTGCATGACAAGGTATTACGGTAGAAACAATTTATCTAAATTGCTAGACAAAAACTAAAACTCCAGTATGCAACTGAAAGCAAACACACTGATAAAACAAGCAGGTTTCGCCAGATGATCATGAACAAACCACAACCAAAAATGTCTCTTGTACACCATGAACATGGTAAGCAAGTGAGTTGACAATATTATAGAGAAGTTGCGGAAATGAATTTCACTTGTGTGTTGTGACTATAACATGCGGTGTACCTTGTATTTGATGTTGATGCCATGGCGGTGCTCCAGAATGTGTTGTAACCAACATAGGAGCACTGCCTGTATAACAGGAAAAATTACATATTAGCTATTATGCACCGCCACAGACATGTCATGAACCAAATGTACTCTTCTCTGTAAGCCAAAGTAAATCAAGATTTTGTGTGCACTCGTATTCGCCAAAAATTTATTATATGAAAACAAAATACAGTTATTTTCCTGAATTAAACTGGGTTTACTAGAGGTATGGTTTTAATACAGATAATGTGTAAACCGTTTTTTTTTTTTTTTTTTTTTTTATTATAAATATTTGAAATGATTTCAATAATTCTGTTCTAAATTTTGATGGTACACAAACTGAACTTGAATTACTCTGGCCCAAACTAATATGGATGTGATATTCCATTTTCAATTCTATACTTACTTGGTTGGGATTGCCACTGTGAACTTGACGATTGTGGTGGTGGCGGTGGTTCACTTGTTGGGGGTGGTGGGGGCGGCGCAAACAGCAAAGATGGAGGTGGTAATGGAGGAGCTAGAAAAATATATACAGTTGAAAATATTGAATGCCACATGATATAAACGTTTTTATTATTTTATTAACATTGCAAGATGTTTAAGCAATGAATTTTTAGGCACCGGAAGCTTTAGTGAATTTCATAAAATTTAGTTACCTCAAACATCGGCAAATTACATATCACAAATAACTCCTTTAATTCCAGGAGACCAAATTTGCATAATGTCGTAGCGATGTTCATATGATTTAATTCTCACTTGCTCCACCACGAAAATAGCAGTGAAAATTTGACTGTTTACAATGTTTTTCTGGGGACTTACTATGCCAGTATTATTACCTTGAGAGCCTGGCGGTGCTGGCGGAAGCTGATTCCACTGCTGGTTGCCACTACTAGCTGGTGGAGGTGGTGGAGGTAAAGACGAGAGGGGCTGGACTTGCTGTGACATTAGACTTGGAGGATGTTGTTGGTTTGGTGAAGATCCAAGCAAGCTGGGTGGTTTGTTATCCATCCTCCCATGGTGCTGGTGCTGGTGATGATGTTGGTGTTTCTCTTTGTTTGCCCACGGTGGTGTATGAGCATTCTGACCCATCTGTAAAGATTCAAAAAACATGTTATTTTATAACATCCCAATCCAGTGAGCTCATCAATTTGTCTGTTCATATTGTCAATAACTAAGAAGTCTGATGGATAATGTAAGCTAATATGCAGTCAGGAATACAAAAGACAAAGACACTGTTGCAGTACAGTAACCAAGACAACACTATTTGACCCATGTACATTTGTTTAGATCCATACTGAACAGACAAGAATCTGACAAGCTGGCTAAGAGAGTCCTCATGGCATGTATGAGTGAGCACTGAAATTGAAAGCCATAAAGGTACTAACACACTGACAATGTTACTGTTATACAACAAACACCACTGGCAATGTTCCCAGGAACATTAAAATGTTGCAAGAGATTGATTTTGGTGCCTGCTGTATTGACATAGATAGTGCAAGATTTTTTTTTTTTTTATAGATAAACATTCACGAAAAAAACAGCAAATATTCAAATAAATTTATTTATAATGAACATCATCCACATAAAGTACAATGTGGGACAATGATAACCCCCTTCTTTGTCATGGTTAGAAAAAAATCACAAATTGAACAAATCAAGAGAAATGTAGATAGGCATCATGGGTAATATTGCATTATGGGAAAGAGAACTTTGATGTAGATTTGCAATGCAATGTGGTTTGAAGCTTTCAGTCAAAGTTGAAAGTAAATAAATGATATTTTTTTTTGTATTTTCAGGTTAAACTAGTAAGCATTCGCTTCAAAAGCCAATAAACCCAAATAATCACCATGACAACACATAAATTGTAGCAGCAGGAATTAACTCACGGTGAATGAACGATTCCTTACCAATGGTGGTGGTGGATTGACTGGTGTTGATAAGAGTGGTCTGGGTCCAGATGCTGGTTGAGGTGGAGGTGCAGATGATGTAGCGGGAGGTGGTGGTCCTTCACCCAACTCAGCCATCAGCGACATATACTATAGTTATAGAACAGAATAAATTCAGAATTCATAAACATTGCATTCAAAAGAAACTGGCATGTGCACTAATTGACCATATTTGGTTAAATTACAAAAAAGATGTCCACCTGTAACCCAATATGTATGATCATTATACCAACTTTAAATTTACCCAGTCATCTCAGAAAAACAGACTCGAACAAAAAAATATCATTTAACGCTTTTACATGGTCTTGTTGAATCAATGACAACAAAAATGTTGGAAAAGATTGATTATGAAAGGAACAATTTCATGCAGTTGCAGAGAAAGCAATGATCTATTTATACTTATCAACCATAGTTGGTGTGGCCTGAACTGGAACTAAAAACTGACAAATGCCTTCAAATTGTTTTTGCAGGAAAAGATAGCAACGAGTCTGCCAATTCAAATTGCTTTTGAATGACATGACATAAGGTAATTAACCACGAGTCATTTAATTCAGACAAACAAATTGTCAGTTATATGATTAATTACCTCGCTGTCCATTTTAGCTTTGTCTACAGTACTCTGTGGCCCAAAACCACCTCCACCTTCTCGTTTCTGTCGACAATCAGCTGCAATATGACCAGTTCCTCCACACTGCGTACACACAACAGTATTGGTAATATTTTGTCTTTCAGGACATTGCCATGTACGATGACTACTTGCTCCACAATTGGTGCACCTAATACGCATGAACAATATGCAAATAAGTAGTTACTAATAAGTCCTTTATAGATACAAAACATTCCTACTTTTCTGTCATTTCAACAATGCATTTCAAATTATAACAGAAAACAATTTTGATCAGCAAAAGAAAATAGTTTTAGGCTCATGAAAAGATGACATTTTGGATCAAGAAAGGTGAACCTTACAAATTCAACATTCACTACCAAAAAGTCAAATGTTGCAGCATTACGTAAATATGTCAATGAAAGGTCAAGATAGATGTATAACATCACCATGTGTCTCAAGAACAAACAATTTCGAGTAATTTTAATTTAATAACTCTACAAAGATGACAGAAAAGTAACAATGCAACAAACGTTTCCAAATGAAATGCCCACTTCCCAACACATCCAATAACTGAACTTACCTTTTTAGTTTTAACAAACCTAATATGGATTTAGTCCGTCTTCTTGCAATGACCTACATCAAGCATTTTAAACTGAAACCATATTCGTACGAGTGTCGTTAAAAAAATAAATCCTCAATATCTCAGTATCTAAATACCTGATATAATTTTCCAGTGATTTTTTTGCACTTGCATGCACTTTTCAAAATATTTAACAGTCCAAACCGTGATTCTCTGGCAATTTTTGAACACTGCAAAGCATGCCTTTGAATTGATTTCATGCCAAAGACTATTCTACTAGAAATACTGGTAAATAATGGTAGATAGGCCATGCAAAAACAATTATTTAAAACTAAGATGGAGTTAGGGATGGAAGGATGGCATGCAATAGTTCAAATTATGAACTGAATTACAACCACACAAACATCGATGTTGTAAAATATCTTCCTCCTAACAGTGCCATATGTTATTAGTATAAGTTAACAAATTAGAAATTAGCATTCAGTTTATCCAATCAGAAAGAACAGTATGTTTCAAACAAGCCAATAAGAACCTTTGCCTACATTGAACTGATCAATCAGATGCATCAGAAAATATCCTCTGCCAAGACTATTTTTGAAGGAAAAGTGGGTGCCACATTTTATATTCATATTGTTGTTATTGGGTTAAATAAACTAGTACTTCCCTGGGAACAAGACCACCCCTTAATTTTAGATATTTTTACACCAAATATGTTTTATCAGGACAGAGACAATGGCTTTAATCTTAAAAATAAAGTTTATTGAAATTGTAAAAAGAGTGAAAGAGTGTTGGACATTTTTCTTTTCCTGGATGTGAAAGGGTGAACCATGCTTCAACATGACTAAATTCAGAATCACAAGTTTTTAAACACTCCCTTGCAGAGTCTTCAAGCTTATGAACTGACCTAGGAAGCCACAGAGAGCCACTAGCGAGGGAGTTTCCTAGTGACTACCTAGCTTAGTGATAAAAGACCCATAGTCTCTGGGAAAGAGAATGTTTTTTTAAATTGTATATAGATGGTATGTAAATAATACTGTAAACATTTTTGTTTAAAAGTGATGTGGAAATCAATAATGCAACTCATTTCGCGATTTTATTTCCATTATGAGCTACAGTATTATCTCTCATCTAGCACATGGTGAATCATTTAGACATTTTTTAAGGGGGTGATCCTCAAGTATATGACCACCTGTTATTAAAGGGATATGTTGACCCAAGTATAAATCTCTTAAACTTGCTTTAAAAAATTAAATCATAATGGGGCATGGAAAGAGGATACTTTCAGATAAATCTTGTATACAGCAAACATATTCACACAATTTGGTTTCTACTGCTCTAAAGACTGCAGCATGCATTTCATGCACAGCAAGTTCATGTTATAGCACTGTTAGGATAATAACAAAATTATAAATATTCAACTGCTGACTAAAAAGTGCACACCAAAGAAATAAAAACCAAATGAACCTTATCATGTCGTCCTCTCGCAGAGTGCCGTTCAGTTTGGCAAGTTCCCGTAGTTGCATGCGGCGCAGATCATTCTGGCCTTCAGGCGTCTCTATTCCCTGTTTGATAATTTCATTGATCTACAAACACATACACAGACGACACAAGGGGAGAAACGGGAGGAGAAAAAGAAAATATAAGTACGTCCAGAAATACCTTACTGCTTCCGCATCACGTAAAGTGCCGTTCAGGGCAGCAAGTTCGCGCAGCTGCATACGCTTCAAGTCGTTCTGTCCCTCGGGTGTATCAATCCCTTGCCGAATGATCTCATTGATCTAAGAGAAACATGGATATGTGACCTTCACATGTGGTGAGTACAAGGGTGTGTTGGTGTATGCATAAGTCAACTGGGATTCTAAACAGGTGGTTCTTAGTTCTCACCTTAAATTTCCCAAACTGTAAAATTCAGAATATCCAAGAGATAGCGCAGAGAAAGAATTTTAAAACGTGTCTTGCGCATGCCAAGGAAATTAAAACTGTCTTCTCTTCTGTCGTAACAGCAGTTGCCATAAAATGAAGTGAACATTGTGTCAGTTAGGTCTTAGAGGACGTTCTAATTTGAATAATGGTCTTACTTAGATGTATCAAAGCACTTGCATTTTGTTTGTCAAATTCTTTAAGACGACCAACTTTGTCAAAGGTGATGTTGGTCACCATTACGATTGAAATGCAGTCAACAACACTGAACTATTTTGTCACTAATGAGCTTAGTGAGAAGGAATTTTTTTTCCAAACAATTTCAAATTAAATTTTTGGAAAGGTACCCTCTCCTTCGTCTGTTTGTTCATTCATTCATTCAATTCTGTCTGTCTATGTCTGTCTGTATGTCTGTCTGTCTGTCTGTCTATGTCTGTCTGTCTCTGTCTGTCTGTCTCTGTCTGTGTCTATGTCTGTCTGTCTATGTCTGTGTCTATGCGTGTCTATGCGTGTCTATGTCTGTCTATGTCTGTCTATGTCTGTCTATGTCTGTCTATGTCTGTCTACTGTCTGTCTGTCTGTCTGTCTGTCTGTCTGTCTGTCTGTCTGTCTGTCTGTCTGTCTGTCTGTCTGTGGGTTCACAACTGTCGCAAATATCAATCTAAATGTAGCTGCTGCTGCTGTGTTGGATATTCTGTTTCACAGACATGCTTTCGCTAAATCATGCATTTTAGGTATAAATTTATGCTGAAAAACATGCAGTCTTTGAAAATCAAATCCCAGTTGATTGAAAATGCTTGTCCAGGGTTCAAAAATAATTTGTTGCAGAGAAATACTATCAATATTAACTAAACTTCTGTAATGTGGTTAATTAGACCCAAAGTGTAGGCCTAATGGTGATAACACAGCAGGTCTTGAATTTTCTTTTGATAAAGGCACAATAATTGAAGTAATTAGAAGACATGTGCTGATAAAATATATTCAAAATGGTCTGACAAGGAGTGATAATTAAGCTCCAGTAGGTCTGGATTGAACCAGTAGATCAGGGATTGGAGTGACCTGATAGTGCCCTGACACTGTAAGTGGCCGTGTTATTTTTGTTATTTACAGTCAACATCTGAGTATTTTAAATTGTATTTTCAGGCAAAATGAGTTGAAAGTCATTTCAATATTGAGCCCCCCAAAAAACAATCTGAAATTTATGACCTTTGCAAGTTTTTCTGATTGAATGAAGATATACATTTTACTGTTTACTGACTGAAGTTATTTATTCTCTTCACTGACAAATCCAGTCATGCATTGCTGTTGGAATTTTGCTCCAGGTGCAAGCTAAACACAGCTAACCCAGCAAGTATGTAATATTGAAGTTTACTTGGATGTATTGGCCTCAGTTTTGACAGATATTACAGCCATAAATCTAGTAAAGGTCTGGTGAGAATCTGTTTGAGATTGATAGTATACTCTGACATCAGCAGTCAAACCAGTATATTTTTGAACCCTGTCCCATCTTGAGACCAGATAGAGGATAGAAAGAGACTGAATGATTTGACTTGATCTCACCCCACAAATGAATCAAAGATGTTTTACTAGTTGTGAGAGAAGTCTGCATTCCAGGAAGAAGGTAGATGATGGTGGTAACTAAGGCCAACAGAAAAGCAAATTGTGGATCTAGAAACATATACAGCTAGATAAAAATAAAAATACAGTGAGTACATTTAGCTAGCTGGAAAAGACGAAAATAAAATTAGTACAAAAATGATGACTGATGAACACTATTTTAAACTAAAAAAAATGTTGTTTTGAAATGTTCAAATCGTGTAACCTCTTCATGTTAACTAAGCAGATTCTTTTACAATAAATAAGCTAAGTGGGCAATTTACAAAAGACCAACAAGCTAAAGGGTCTAGTCACAGCTCCTTAGTTTACTGCACAATAATTAGTATTAGAGTTACTTTTCCTACTATTTGTAGCTAGAGTAAACTGTAGGATAGATGCAAGGCACAAATATTTTGGAACCTGAGTGTGGGTTTGATTTGAAGTGCATATTTTGGAACCTGAGTGTGGGTTTGATTTGAAGTGCATATTTTGGAACTTGAGTGTGGGTTTGATTTGAAGTGCATATTTTGGAACCTGAGTGTGGGTTTGATTTGAAGTGCATATTTTGGAACCTGAGTGTGGGTTTGATTTGAAGTGCATATTTTGGAACCTGAGTGTGGGTTTGATTTGAAGTGCATATTTTGAAACCTGAGTGTGGGTTTGATTTGAAGTGAATATGAGTGTGGGTTTGATTTGAAGTGAATATTTTGGAACCTGAGTGTGGGTTTGATTTGAAGTGCACATTTTGGAACCTGAGTGTGGGTTTGATTTGAAGTGCATATTTTGGAACCTGAGTGTGGGTTTGATTTGAAGTGCATATTTTGGAACCTGAGTGTGGGTTTGATTTGAAGTGCATATTTTGGAACCTGAGTGTGGGTTTGATTTGAAGTGCATATTTTGAAACCTGAGTGTGGGTTTGATTTGAAGTGAATA